ACAGTTTTTTTTTTGTTATTTAAAGAGCGCGTTAGTAATATGCGCCTATATATAGGCGGCCGCACAACGCGCGTACACTTTGCTTAGGCTATTAGACACACACAGGGGTGCGTAGCACACAAACATTTTTAAAAACAAAAAATTAAAGGATTAAAATGTAAAAGATTATTATTGTGTGCATAAATATGAAAATGCCTACAGTCATGGCCAAAAGTTTTGGCAGTGACATAAATGTTGTGTTTTGCAAAGTTTGCTGCTTCAGTATTTGTAGATTATTTTCCCACATGTTTCTATGGTATACTGAAAAACAAGGATAATAATATCATAAGTTTTAAAGGCGTTTATTGGCAAAAAATATAATGAGTCAATATTTACAATGTTGACCCTTGTTCAGGGGCGTGGGAAGATGTTTTCGGTTGGGGGTGCTGTGTTTGTCCGGGTTGGGTGAAAGGGGGGCGGGGGGGTCACCTCGTTTGACAACTCCACAAAGCACTACAAGTGCATCGATATGAACACTCGTTTAAGTGGCATACACACTGGGAAATTTGACTGCATATCACATTTTTGAAATTATCGATAGTAGCTGATCAATCTCGGGGGTTGGGCTGGGTCCGCTAGGCTTACTTGTCTCCGTGCTCGTGCTGGAGCTGGTTCACTTACGTCGGTGCTCGTGCTGGGGCTGGTGTGTTGGATGCCGATTTTGGAAAGTTTTTGCTGGGATGGGCATTTAAAAAAAATCTGAAATTCGCTTTTGCGCCATTATCTCCTTGTATTAAAGTTAATCTTGTTCGCATTCTGTATAGTTCATGTCTGATACCACGCGCCAGCGTCACGTGTTCATGAGGATTAGGCTAATCATCCCATATAGAAAACATCACAAGTAAAATTAATCATGTTTATAAAGATAAACATGGGTTTATTATAGCCCACTTACAATTTACATGTCAGAGATCATTACAAATAAATTATTAAATGCTAGAACTGAATAAATTTAAATGAACAAACTTGGCGTTGCATTTGCAACCATGTGAAAACAGGGGGTGCTGTAGCTTTCCGCGTCCCTGCCCTTGTTCTTCATAACCTCTGCAATTCGCTCTGACATGCTGGATATTAGCTTTTGGGCCAAATCCTGATTGATGGTGATCCATTCTTGCCTTATTAGTTCTCGGAGTTGATAAAAATTTGTGGGCTTCTGCTTGTCCACTCGCCTTTTGAGGACTAACCACAGGTTTTCTATGGGATTGAGATCTGGGGAGTTGCCTGGCCACGGATCCAAATTTTCAATGTAATGATCTTCGAGCCACTTCTTTATCACTCTTGCTTTGTGACATGGTGCTCCATCATGCTGGAAAATGCACGGATCATCACCAAATTGATCATGGATCGTCGGAAGAAGTCGCTCTTGCAGTACGTTTTGATACCATTCTTTATTCATGGCAGGGTTTTTGGGCAGAATTATGAGAGGGCCCACTCCCTTG